TTTAGCCTACCCAATCCAATTGTACTGGATTGTCTTTGGATTGTGGGGGAAACCGGAGCACCCTGAGGAAACCCATGCGAATGCAGGGAGAACATGCAAACTCCACACAGAAACGCCAACTGACCTAGTAGAGGCTCGAACCAGCGACCTTCTTGCGGTAAGGCAAAAGCAGTACCTACTGAGGCACAGTGGCGCTTAATTTCCTAATTTATTTAATAACATTTCAAAATAACTAAAAAACATTGCTTTACTGTATTTTAACCTATACAGCATTGTTTTACATTTTGTGATGTTGTTACATTAAAAACAAAAACAATCTCATTTATGACAGCATGGAGTTACACTAGTTTTTGCCTTGATTTGCTTACCAATGTCAATTATTTACATTTTAAAAAGCCAGATTAATTTACAACATTTAACTTAAACATGCTTTTTTGGTAGCTCAACAATAAATAAATAAAAATAAAATAAAAAAGGTTATGTCAAATTATAAATGACAGTGTTTTTTTAAAGGTATTCACCCCAACCCTCTCCCTCATTCTCATTCTTTTCTCAGATGGGATGGTGGGCCAAATCAAAGGTTACAATGGGCCAACTTTGGCCTGCGGGTCCTACTTCGGGCATGTCTGCTTTAGAGTCACTCAAAGCGCTTGCAGGAAACTGCCTGGACCTGACCATAGTAGCAGTCAACTAATTACAGATTATGTGAATGCCAGCACGTCACAAGGATGTGGTCAAAGACTGAAGAAAGTCAAAAATCTGGATTAAAAGTAAGGACGTCACATTAAAATTATTATTGTTATTCTTTAATTTCACTTTTTACTGGCAAGTTTGTTAAAGATACTGTCTCAAACAAAACAAAAGTGAAGTTTCTCGATAGGGTGTTTGTGAACTTGTTGTGAATTCCTTGAATTGTTTTGTGCTGAACAAAAGGATCTGCTTTAAACACACAGCAAGCGCAAAACTGACACTTTCATGAAACAATAATCTCAAAGTCTGACACTGTCAAAGACAGCATGCTGAGCTGCAAGCAGATGAATTTTGCCAACAATAAAAGAGCCCATTTCCCATGAGTCTCTCTGCTATTTCAAACTTTTTGCATGGTCAAGGTAGCCCTCGGCTGTTCTCTGGAAATGTGACACTCGTCTCACTAGAGAAACAACTGGTACCAGCACTAATTGAAATTTTGCATGCAAAGTGACAATAGCCGGGCCCTGGGCAGCATGGATTAGGCACTGAATGGAGGTGGATTCTTTGTGAACGCCACTGTGGAGGCTGGCGTGCAGACCAGTTCCCTGCATCTGCTCATTCAACGCACTGAAAAAACACAGGATTGCGAGCAGCCGCTCACTTTACCTTTATCTAATCCTGTTTCTGAACCTCGATCACCACCTCTCCAAACCACGTTCTGCCTTTTGTTACTCTCCCAAAAAACTGTAACGCTATGCATCGGCTTACACTGCAGTGGCCCACACCCGGCGTATAGTTGGAAACGGATGGGACGCATTTACATTTGAAAGCAGATTATTCAAACTTGGCACGGATTTCAAAGTGGAAGTGTTGATATGAGGGCTAAAACAGCTATGTTAACAAACAATAGTTTTAATTATGCCTCTCTCTGTTGTTTAGAGTGTTGTGGAAATAGATTGTAAAAAGCTTAGCTGAAACAAACTTTGCAGTTGTACAAAATGCTGAGCAATTTATTTTCCTGAAAAACAAGGTAGTATTTGCATAACTTTGGAATTTTGATAGATCTCCAGTAATAAACAGATGAATAAATCCTCAAATTAAACAATTGAACTCTAATTGAATCTTGATTTCCCCACTACATATAGCATGGAAACAAGAAACACAAAAAGCAGGGAAAAAATATGCTAAATATAGTATATAGTGGCACTACATTATCACAAAGGCCTTTATTAAAACCAGCCATGCGTGCTATTTTTGTACAACAAAGTCGGTGTAGATATTATGCAGCACCTTAAAATATAAAATATCAAACAATTTCCATAATGTTGGCGGGCACATCAATATATATATAATCAGCCTTCAGACATTTGTATACAGTATGGGAACAGCCGCAGCTGCTTATGGGACGTCTCAAGATGAGAGAGAAGTCACATTGTACAAGAACATTATGACAGCAAAATGGAATGCATGCTGGGAATATTGAAATAGCTAGGAATCTTTTGTATGACGGGTGTCCTACTTACAAAAGACGCCAACTCTGACGTGATAAACAACATGCAGCTCACTTGAGGTTTTATTTGTGGAATATCTTGTTTAGTATTTTTACGATCTGCCGCACTTGCATTATGTTGCTACATTTCACTACAACAGAGTTTTTGGTTTTTAAATATTATGGTGTCTTAATATATGAAACGTCCTGTTTTGTGTGTGAGCTAAATGAAATGCAAAGCAAAATAGCTTTAAAAAAAAGAAAGGAAAAAAATAACAGCAACTTTGATAAAGAAAATGACACAAATAATTTTTTAAGAGCCACAGCCACGAAGAATAAAAGTAAATTAAACAGAAACTTCAAACTGCTGCATAATGCAAGCTGACATATACAAAAACTTGTCACTGTGAAAAACTTCAAAGTGCCTTAGCATGGCAGCACTATTTGAAGTAAAAACCCAACGAAGAACAAAACCATATTTTATGATCACCTGCTGGGAAAAATCTATTTTCACATATGCAAATTGAGCTTGGTTTTAAAAATGCACTTGAAGCACTTTATTCTTATACTAAAGAAGTTTCACACTCAAGAGAAAATGAATCCTGTGTCTTGTCTTCACCACAACCTACATTTCATTCATCATTCCAATAGACTTTCAAAGTATCAAAGATTATTTCAAGCAAAGTATAAAACTATTCCCACATGAGCATGAATTTCAGATGGCACATTATAGCTGATGTCAAATATCTTAACGATTTGATATAATTTACACTCATTTGGCGAGGAGGATAAACACTGTTGTATAAGGCTTTAAGATGACGTCAAATCTCACTGAGCCATCTCTTCTACTGCCTGCCATCACTTTGTTTTTAAGGTCGACGCAGCGGTGACCTCTTTTTCAACTCTCTAATTTTTTTTTTACATCTAAGCACCATGCTTTAACACCATTGGCTGAAAAACTAGGGTGACAGAAATGCGAATCGACCAATCGCCCCAGAGTTTGTGATTCGACGATGGACAACAACCCCCCAAAAAAAGAAAAATATTATGCACACACACATTATTTATAATAAAATATTTATAAAAATGTGTGTGTTTATATATATATATATATATATATATATATATATATATATATATATATATATATATATATATATATATATGCATACAAACATACTCTTACACACTATAGTTATTATGAATGTAAAATATAACTACTATCAACTTATTAAAAAGGAAACTTTGTTTTTTCCAGTAGAGAGCATTGTTAGCAAGTATTATTTACACTATTTTTTACTTTTTATTTACTTTATTTTTTTCTGTACTGCAAAGACAGAACTAAAGGCAACATTTAAATAACAAAAAGAAAAGGGTCAAACAACCTTTGAGAACCACAGGGCCTCTAAAAGCAATCAGAAAAAAATAATTTTAATTACTTCAGTTCCTTTATTAAACGCTCAGGCGTCCTCTAATTTTTGAATTATAATTACTGTACATGTTAATTATTATTAAATGTCTGTGCACATTTCAATTTAAATTAAATTTGGCACTGAGAATTCTTTAACATTTTAGGCAAGTCTGACGAAATAATTAAATAAACATTTGCCCTTTATTAAAGTTACATGATTAGTCAAATTAATAGTCTAGAACTATCTGAAATTGAAAAGCCAGTCATGTTATTATAAGTTTTTAAAATTACTTTCTGAAGAAGTTACGTTGTTTTGTTCTTTCACAAAATATTTATTAGCAACAAAAACTGTCATGCAGTACTGTCGAATAAGCCCCTAATTTAATTCAAATACAGTAGTTCCTCAGTACACAAACTTGTTGCTTTTATTGTTATTATTTAATTGTTTTTAACTACATTACAGCTGTCAGTTACATTGCGTTTTGACCATATTAAATATTTTAAAACCGTTTATCAAATAAATAAATAAATAAATATAATTTCATCCTTTAAAAAATCCAGCCTAAAAGTACATAATTGAGTATGCCTATAGTCATCCATTACATGACAATAAACTCAAGTATCATTAAACTTGAGAACTAAAGCCACAAGAGGATCCTGTAATACCAGCAATGCCTACTTAAAATTCATTGAGCATAATTCACTGGACACAGACACTTCAAACTGCCGGGGACTGAAAGCGTGGTCAGTAAATGAGAATAAAGGACTGTATTTGGTTGTTTTGCAATTGTGTGCTCACTGGGAACCTGTTTCATTGTCCAACATGCTGAGTCCAGCATCACCATTTCTACTGGGAAACCGGCTACACACAAGCTGAAAACAACACGCGAATCTGTTACGGGGTAAATAATATTGATGGAGTAAAATAAATAATGTTAATATACATATGAAGGTCCTTGGAGTTTATTAGTCCACCTCTGAAATGATTGTACAAATAAAGGGGCGCGAATCTCGTGCACGGCTCGCGCTCGCACACGTATACGCGCGTGGGGACAAAATAACAGTTTTAATGCTTCTATTTCACAATAAAAGTCGACAAATGTATTTTTTATACAGCACATGTTATGAATAAACTAATGCTGGTCACTAAAATGCGTTTCCTACGCCACCTGTGATGAATTTACTATATATTGTGCCTGACAGAGCAAGCCCTATCAAAAGAACACGTCCCTGTCAACGTAGAAAAATGTCACATTTGCCCCAGTATCAAGCCACATTCGTTAATAAGCAAAAAAATGGTTTCGTATCTTATTTCTTGGATGCCGTTCAAAACTAACGTGCCGTGACGGTAAACTCTCAGGCTGTCGGCAAGATGCAGGACTCGCAAAACACGGGGAAGAAACATCTTACCTTCAATAGCCAGGACTGATGGTAGTGTCCATAAAATCCATAGGATATCCATCATTGGTTTCTTAAGGATGAAATTATATGAAGTCCAGACATTCAAATAAAATGAGCCCTGAAAGCCATTGATATCAGACGCTGGCGCAGACCGGCAGACTTTCACCTTCCGTTGAATGAATACGATGCCATAAACACACAACTAAAATCCTGAGCGAGTATGGACGAGACCAAATGAGTCAGACGAGGGGAGGATGGTGGTTGGGAGCACCGCGTGAGATCCACCAGAGGAAGAATGTGCATGAGAAACGTCCTATTACCAACAAGAATAAACACAGTAAAGATAATTTCGTTGATAAAAATTGACCCGAGCAGATTTCCGTCGTATATACAATAAAAAGGTTCGGACAACCAACCCGAAAGCGCACATTTCTTCTGTCCCACCTGTCAATCAAAGCAAGAGCGTAACTATTCAGCCTTATCTGCGGATGCTCGAGTGAAAAATTGGTACTATTGGAAAAGCATGGAGGTGTGAATTAAGACTCGTAGATGAAATGTGTACAGTAATGGAAAATATGTTTGTTATAGTAATTCTTGTAATCATGGAATTGTATGTCGGCTCGTTTTTTTCGGTCTCCCACCTTCTTCAAAAAAAGTAAAGGTAAGAAGGTTTTTAAAATTGCCGTGAGCGAGAAAACAAAACTAACGTCAACAAGCGCATAAAAGTGAGTATTTTCATATTGTATAATGATTTCTAACGTATTTATTGCATTGCTTTAAATAGCCTAATATATGAAACATATCCTATAAGTAAATAAAAGTATTTTTAAATGAAGAATAATAATGCTATGCTTTTGTCTCTCATTGTATGTAACTTAGTTTAGAGACACAGATGTTTTATTTGTACACACTGAAGTTAAATCAATGAGAGCAGAATGAGATTCAATGTCTGTGGCAGCTGTGACACTCACTAGGCCTCATTTGCAATTTTAACAATGCGTCCAAGGACTAACAATATTTTGAATGAATTTGTGCATGTGCCTGTAACAGCTCCTGTAAAGAGGTTAGTCAGTATAAGCAAAGCTATTCTGTCCCCTACAGCTATTAGCCTTACTTATATTTGTATTACAAATAGTAAGCTAGTTTACAACAAATTAATAAAAAAAAAATCTGACCCATAGATGAGCATAAAAACATACAAATATTTAGTATGATAGCAGCCTTTCATCTTTGTTTAATATTTTTGCACGAATTTAAATTGTCACTATAATTCAAATCCTTTCTTTTCAGCTCCAGAGTGATAAAAAATAACGAACCTTGAAACCTTGAATGAATAATATTACTTTCCAATTGCTTATTCCAAGGAAAATAGTTTATTGGCAAGAGATGGAGATTATTACTTGTAATGTGAATATAGCAGGATCATGGCACCTGTTCTGACTTTAATACTCGCTATACCTAGCTTAAAATTGTAACTATTTTCAATTTAACTATTTGAAACAAAGTAGCAGACTTTGTGAAGAAAGACAGACCTGCTGTATTTTTATCCCTCTCTACAGCTCGGTTGGCTCTTGCTTGAAAATCTTTCAAAAGTCTGGACCTATAGAGTTACCTGATCCCAGCTGGTTGTACTACACATAGCTATGTGCTATAATACATCTTTATACAGAATGTCCGGCTCAAGTGTGTGGAGTCTGTTAAATAAAGTTACAGACACAGAGAAAAACAAAGGTCAATATAACGCAAACACTGCTCAGCATAATTGAGTACACCCCATTTTGAAAATGAATATTTTTATATTTCTCAGTGAATATAGGCAATGCATTTGGGTGCATTTAAACAAAACAGATTTATTTAACAGACACATTTATTAAAATAATGTTTTAGTCACCAAACATATTTAGAAATTGACAGATAACACAATTAAATTCAAACAAAATATTGCAAAAAAAAAGTTACACCTACAAAATTTCAACTACATTTTTACATTTTTATTACAATTACATTTTACAACTAATTAAATTATTTAATATTTTTCTATAACATTTAAATCTGGGTTTACTAGTTTTTTGACCGTTCACATAAGTTATTTTGTTAAGCTCCAGTTTTGGCTTCAGTACTGACTAATCTAATTTATATGAACAAATAAAATATTTTACAGCTTCCTATTAAAAATATGAATTTAAAAGAGATTTGTGAGGGGTGTACTCATATGACCACTCTGGTAATTTTACTTGATTGCATTTTTAAAAAATAGTTGGAGAAAAGTCTAATTTATTCATTAAAAAATAAACATTTATGAACCAATAAATAATTGATTAATTTTTTTTCTTTCCTAAATTTAATTCTATGCCAGCTTAGAACAACCTTAATTCATTATACATCATGTCTGGCTTATTGAGAAATGTGTAAAGTCTGTAAATAAAAAAATAAACGTCAAAAAATCTAACTAAATCACTTAATATAATGAAGGTTTTATCAATTATTTATAACTGACAAGACCTGGTGATTATGGTAGAATCCATTTTACAAATGAGAAAAAAAAAATCGAATTCAGGTTTGTCTTAATGTTGTGGCTTTTAATTTTAAAGTCTTTACAAACACAATTAAAAAAGTATGTGAATCTAGCAGATGTGGTCAGAGCATTTATTTATACTCACCTACACTGTATGTTACTGCATTTTTTTAAATTGTATGTTTAATTTCCACTACTATTTAATTTCAGTGAAAAATAAAATAATAAACAAATAATAAAAATAATAAAATAATAACAAATCTGTGTGAGTCAGAAGATGACAGTAAAATCCATTGCCCACAAGTGTTTCAGTAAATTGATCTTTTCAAAAAGTAATTGCTTAGAAATCGCAAAGGCATTTTGGCTTTGTTGTTAAATCCATTTCATGAGTGGATTTAGCCTAGAGTAAGAATGTGGCCTGAAAACAAGCTTTAATTAATCACCTCCACCGACTTTAAAGTAACTCTGCAAGTCCCCTACAAACACTTTTATAGGCGCATTAAAAAAATGACAGACCATGGCGTCAGCAGCAGTTTTAAAATATGTAAAACTTTGCATTTCAGACAGCCAAAAGAACAATAATTTAATACAGAATGAAATCCTTCAAACAGATTGTAAATGGATAAGCTTTTTGACCTGTCAGATGTAGTTTGTAAGATTCGACTGATGAAATTGTGTGTCATTGTTTGCCAAGCCACAAACAGTATTATGAATTTTTCCTTAAAGCAATATGTGACTTATTTCCCGTCTCAGCAGCTGGTAGTGTAATCTAAATAACGCTGCGTATGAGTATAATCAGACAGAGTTGAACACAGGCAAAAGGTAAAATTCGAAGAAGCCCACGAGCTGATTCTCTACACAGATGGAATCAAGTGAGTTGTTATAACTGACAGTAGCAGGGTATGGGGCACGAATCTCAAATTAATAGCAGCCGGGACTGCTTTTACCATTCCCTGCGAGGTCACTGAATTTGACCAAGTAAATCACAGCCGACTTAGAGGTCCGCTATATATCAGAACGCAGATATAGACCTATAAGGTGTCTGTCTAAATAACCTGAGACTTGTGGGCAATGATGGGATTAAGTTATTCTATTCCCTGTTATTGAATTTGGAATCTGCGTTTTGTTAGTCTACGCGCTCATGGAACAAAGCTGTTATTGTAATATAAAGAACTGGCAGTATTTTACCCGAAAATACCAGTCAGTCTGAGGAGAAATATCAAAGGATATAAAACTAGACTAACCATGGGAGACTGGACTTTAATACTTTGACTTATGTCTGCTGGAATATCAAGTAAGAAATGTTTTAAATTATTTTTATCATTTCCCGTATGGAAAAGAATGTGTATTGCGAATTGATACCGTTCTCTAATATCACAGTTACATCAAAGAGGAAAACTACTGTGTGTGTGAACGAATTCTGGTGGAGTCGTTTAGCCCGCTCGCTTTTAAAACCCAAAACCTACACTTTAAAATCATATTAATATATTAAAATCAAGGGCTGACTTTACAAAAAAAACATGATTTATTTTTATACTGTAGTTTCAGCTCTGAGTTTCTGGACTGTCTCACAAATAAATATTTTTAATTGCATAAATTTATTAGCATCAAACAGATTTTTATGTTGGCTCTTGCGCTTGTGAAAGGCTATGAATTAAAATGTATCTTTCAAAATAAAATAATGAATAACAGAAATGCACACACTCGTAAAGCAGATCACATGGGACAAAAAAGCTTTTTAAAAAGTTTAGCATATGGATAGCATTTTAAAGGGACACTATCTTTTACACTTTTATTACATTATCAGAAATAAATCATAAAGCAAAGTTTTATTCAACAAATGTAAAAAAAAAATGCAAACCAATATTTTATTAAACACTTAGCATAACAAATTCAATGCAAATTTATCCCAGTTTTATCATTATGTTTTGATCTGTAATTCGCAGAAACGTCTTAAATTAAAATGAATCCTGAAGATTAGGTAGAAAAGTTTAACACATCACAAACAAAAAACCCGTTTCTGATAAAATGTGTGATGTGTGTGACTTCAATCTGACTCTACTGAACAACCGAAGGGCCAAATTGCTTCAACAGTGCCACCTTGAGTTCAGGAGTGACACTTGTCTGTTCATTTTGACTCATGCCTTCTAGCTTTTGTCAGACTTAACACTATAATACTATTGTTGTCTTGTAGCTCTTTAAATTTACTTTTATATTTTAAAGCTACTTAAATATTGACCTGTTCTAATTAACAGCTTTTCTAATATTCATCAGCAATTCTTCACAAATGATAAATTATCCCACATTTTTTAAATGTTGACTCAGAAATACAAGTTTGCTTTCATGCCCACATCATTATAATTGCATAAGTTTAATTAATTTGGCCTGCAGTGTTCAAAATCAGAACACAGGAGGTAAATAATTTGCTCCAAATCTGGAAAAAATATTGTCTACACTCTCAGAAATAAAGATACAAAATCTGTCACTAGGGCAGTACCTTTTCAAAAGGAAAATTTTGCTCCTAACAGATCCCTAAAGGTACATATTAATAACCAATAAGTACAAACGTGTGCCTCATAGTAACTTAAAGGTACAAAGTTTACTTTAACGGTACTAAAGTCCACCTGTATTGTTTAATAGTGTACCTTTTGAAAAGGTCCAAC